GGGGTCTCAATGTGTTAGCCAGGCTGGTCTTGAACTCCTGGTCTCAAGTAATGCTCCTACCTCCATCTCCAAACTGTCATCATTACAGGTGTGAGCATCTCCATGTGCAAGAAACTTCAATTTGTTGCCATGTCTCTTCCAACAAAAAAACTGGGAAAAAAAATCACTGGGGTAAGGGTATCTGACTTTACAGAAATGACTTGGTATTTTTCACAGCACTTCTCTTCCCATCCTGTTGGTTCAAGTTTGGGCATATGGCACCCCGAGTTTTGAGATAAATCTGGAAATGTTAGATACACACAAAAGATGATTTATGTGTATTGCATGTTTCAGGAAAAAAATCCATTAAATGATTACCACAACAGAGCATAACCCAAGAGGCTGTGTTCATTGAAAAAAAAGCAGAACCTCAACTAAAAAGATATGGTGTTGTTCAAAGTTAGCACAGGTGTCAGTACTCAAAAAAATGCGCAACCCCTGTCTTCACACCACAGATGTGAAGCGTTTTCCTCTTCAGGGCCTGTTTACCTGGGGGTCACATAGCAAGGATCGCCCTACTTATCTTTCTTTTAGTCCCTTATGGAAGATGAAGACAGTAATGATTCTCCAAATTATGAAAATAGTTACCTTATTTTTTCACTTGGTGCCACATAGATTCCACAGTTAACTTTTTCTCTTCTTCCTGCACATACTTCATGTAGCACTTTATCAGCTAGCAGGCAGAGTTTATCAGCAGCTTCTTTCTGACTTGCTGCTTCTTTCCAGCTGATCTCAGATTATATAATTTTACTTCTTAGGACTTCTACCTAGGATTCCTTTTTGTTTTCTCTTATGGTTCTTGAGCTTTTCTGTTAATGCTGTAATTTCTCTAAGCAGCAATGTATCCTAAATTTAATTATCTTATTTTTGAAAATATTTTTCAAATAAAATTTTCTCACTGACATTCTTCTCATTTACTTCAGATTTACTTGGATATACAGACAGAATTAGCTACTTCATGCACATTTATTATCTGCCTCTGAATTTGAAAGATTGGAGTTTGTGTATCTATTCCGAAAAATTTCTCAGCCTTTGTGCCAGTATCTTATTTTAATGATGCTCCTGGAAATATTTAATACACTAACTCTTTCTACCTTTCAGAATTTATGTTAGAACTAATTTATAATTGAAATAAAATTAAGGTGAGACCACTAGGAACCTGCTAAAAACTTTAATCCCAAAATTTCAAATTTGCCTTGTTCTTATTCCTCAAAGTTATTTATCATTTATCTCATCACATTTTTTTGTATTCAAGAATTTTGACTCTTTTACAGAATAGAAAGTAAAAATTGACATAGAAGATAACCTGAAAGAAAAATAATTTTACAAAACTTTGACAAGCATATTGTTTCTGTACTGGATTTAGGAGACATGGAGAAAGATGATTTTCATAAGAGAAATTAGATAAACAGAAAAAAAACTTTCATGATATCAATTATATGGAAGATTTATATTAAAAAGTAGACTATATAAAAACAGAGTAGGCTGGGTTTGGTGGCTCAGCCTGTAATTACAGCACTTTGGGAGATTGAGGTGAGCAGATTGCCTGAGTCCACAGGTTCGAGACCAACCCGGGCAACTTTGTGAGACCTCATCTCTACAATAATTCAAAAATTAGCTGGGTGTGGTAGCACACACCTGTAGTTCTGGCTGCTTGGAGGGCTCAGGCAGAAGGATTGCTGGAGCCCAGCAGGTCGATGCTGGGGTGGCCGTGAGTGTGCCACTGCACTCCAGGCTGGGTGACGGAGTAAGACTCCAACTCAACAAAACAAAAACAAAACAAAACAGCAGAAAGGTGGTTTACTAGGGTCAAGGGGGAGGGGAGAAAATGGGCAGATGCAGGGCAATGGGTACAAATTTACAGTTATGTGAGATGAGTAAGTCTAGAGAGATAACATGCAGCATAAAGGATATATTTGAAAGAGAGAAAAAAGAAAGAAGGAAAGAAAAACTCCTTGAGTGTGTTTTTACAAATCATGGACCCCAGAGAGATTAGTTGTGATTTTGGAATCTAAAATCATTTTTATAAAGCACAATGGTAAAAACATAATGGTATAATCCATCTGAAATATATATATACATGGAAGGTTTAGAGACCAGTTAGCAATTCTCATTTCTGGGTGGGGATCCAGGATG